ATACCCACTTGACACATTGAGTTTAGCGAAATTTCTCCATTTGTGGTTTACTAAAAAAATTTATAAAAATATTTGTGTATTGCAAAAATAGTAGTGCTTCTAGCTTCGTTATGTGTGCCTATTTGGTTCCATATCTCGTTTGAGTTTGCATAGTTAAACTGTCGGTGGCTTTACGTATGAATTTATTCGCTTTTTTAAACTCATAAATTTCAGATAACCAAAGCCGCTTGATTACCCATAACCAAAGCATAAACCAGGTGTATTTTTATGTTCAAAAAATGTAAGAGCCATAGGTAAAAAGGTCAGACAATAGCATAAATTTGCATTTTCTTTGGACAAGTTGAGTCAGCACAGAGATGTGGCTGCCCAATATATTTTTGTATTTTTGTATTTTTTTTAATATTTTTCAGGCATTCGTTTAATATTTATATATTTCATAAATATTTTTTTAAATATTCAAATACTAAAAGACAAGTTTAGAGGACATAATGATAGATAAAAAAAAAATTAGAGGTCGTAACAAAAAAGCCGATTCTGTATAATATAACTGAAAAAAGTCGCTAAAGTGCATATAAACTCACGGTGCGTACCTCTGGGGCACCTACTTCGACACTGAGCAGCGTATATTAAGTATGTCAAGAAGTTTGACATTATAAAGTATACGTACATCTATATAATTGATTAGTCTGACAAGCTGAGTAGATTTACCTAACCAGGTCCGTCTGTATAGTCTTCAGTTTCTAGGATATCAAGCAGAAATTTCGCATGCGTCCTGTTTTATCCAAATGAAGCTCTCATTATAGCTATTAGACAAGCTGAACAATCAGAATCAAGTGCTTGTGTGGAAATTTTTTTCATTTGACGAGATATCTTCTCCAAATTTAGCAGAGATTATTGCATAGGCTAATAATGCAATATCCAAAGAAATTGTGTAGATCGCAACACTATAGTATATAGCTGTCATACAAACTGAACAATAGCACTCAAGTCCTTGTATGGAATACTTTTTTATTTGACACAGTATCTTTACAAAATTCGATAAAGATTATTATTTATTATGCCGCAACAATCTCCAAAGGAATTGTTCGAATCGGACTACTATAGCATATAGCTGTCATACAAACTGATCGGTCGAAATCAAGCTAAAGTTATTTTAATACTAATTAAAGCATAAGAATGCATCTGTGAAGGGTATTATTGCTTCGGTGCAGCCAAAGTTAACAGTTTTTTATATTAAATCCACTTTGTCATTCCAATATTTTCAGCGAACTACATCATACAGCTTATATTTATAATGAGATTATCTCATAAATTCCATCAATCTTCAAAATCGTCAAAACTAAAGTTCCCAAAATCATTCGGACACATTTAATCAGTAAAATTTTTGGTAGATCTTCAGTTGCCATATCAAAATATATTATAATAATTATTTATTGATATTTTTAATTTATGCTGAAAGCATAATTTGATGACATTTCCCTTTACTTGTGACCCGCTTATGAATATTAAAGCGATCACAATTAAATAATTGGCCAATAAACGTCTTAAACACATTTAAAAATATCTACAATCAACATTAAGCACTGACAAGCTTTCGGTGGATTCAGCAATTGAAATGGCCACCACTGCGTATGAGCAACCTTAATTAAGTATTATCCACTGTAAGCACTATTCATGCCTACAACTGCATTTATGCGCACWTAATTGAATTATTTGCATATTTTTCACACACACACACTCGCAAACAWGCACAGTYRKTAAACGCTCTAACAACTATATTTTTRTTATGAGTTTATAATGGCAATTGCGGTTTGCATTAAAAATAAGAGAACAAAAGCCCGTTCGCCTTTCCTGCATGCAATTTATGCCCATGTGCCATGTGCATTTGAGCTGTGCGCTTGTGTTGCTGCATAYAATAAGTTAATTTTCATTTAAATGGCTCTTATATGTACACATGTGTACTGTGTGGCTTGTTTGTTTGTTTGTGTGTGTCCTTGAATGTGAGTAGATGCAATTTTTCTTTTATGCACACCTTTGTAATTATGGTAATGAATAGGTGTGCTTTAATTTTATGCTGGATATGCACGTTTTGATTATGACCACCACATATGTGTCTATGTACTTGTGCGCTTGCTGAGGCATGAGAATATCACATAAATATTTGTAGGGAAAATAACTGGAAATTATGTGTGATATGTTATAGAGACCACAGGTCTAATTTACTCGTATTTAATGGAGTTACTGCCCACGTATATGGACTTGGATGGAAGGTGAGGGTTTAGTTGTAGAAAATATAATTTTTTTTTATATCAAAAATTAATTCGTCTGTACATTTTTTGTTTTATCTTCATTGTAAACTTAACAAAAAAAAATATTACAAAAATAATTAAGCTTATTGCACACCTTAATAAGTTTGAGGTCGAATCTAAYCTCAAGCATGTCAATCCTTATCCTTTGTGACAGAACGGAGAAGTTCACARTTGTACTTCGAAAGGCTAATAGGTTCATACCACAAGATGGAGTTTTATCTCCGTTGTTGTGGGTYCTAYTKSAGAAGTACCTTTTGARGAAACTTGAGGAACGAGACCACCAAGTGTTTGCCTACGCAGACGATCCAGCTCGTTTAATAAAGGCAAAACTCCTGAACATTTATTTTACTGTATCTTCTAGTAAAAATTGCTGATGTTACTCTACCCCTGAAGGTTCTATTCTTCAACCGGTGAACACGGTGAAGTACCTGGGGCTTATCCTGGAAAGGAATCCCAACATAGAGCAGGAAGTGAGAAAGGCATCCCTTGCCTTATTTTGTTGTAGAAGAGCAATTATTTGGTCTTCTGGTTGTATGAAACCATAATTAAGCCAATAATGGCTGTTATTAGTCTTAGGGAAGCTGGGTATATGAGAGGCTCCGGGTAGAAACACACTTAAATTCACCGCTACTTCGATGACGGTCATTAGAATTTTGATAACTGCATCTCAAACTTTMTCCTGTCGGTTCCTTCGCAGCTCACACATCTGCGAGTGATTTTCGGGAGGGGTAAAGRTGTTGGAGAAGGACTGCAGTGAGATTTTTTACGAATGGATCCCAGAGGGAGACTAGTGTTGGAGGGAGCTCTCCATAATTTTTAGTATCAGACTACCAGACCACTGCYACGTCTTTCTAGTGAAGGTGAAGGTATAATCAAGATAGCAGTAGRCACATATACTGCTTCACAGAGCAGCTTCTTTCAGAGAGGTGTGCCTTCAATCCGATAGTTCAGCAATATACTAACTTTGAGCTTTCTTTCAAATTAGACTTGTGTGGGTCCGCGGTCATAGTAGAATTGCCGGAAACTGCAAAGCCGATARGCYRATAGAGAAGACACTTTTTCCCAAATTCATCCTATTGGAAGCGAGTCARTTATCCTCCCGCAAAATAAATGTCTTTATCTATAGTTTATCAGTGGTTGTCACCATCACTATCAGGTTCTCGTTTCATCTTTCTGCTTTTCWCCGACTATGTATCGATGAACTTCACTGACTCTCACGAATTCCCGCTAGCTATAGTTTTCAGTGCTCTCTGGCTCTCAGTGGAACTCTCGGCTTCTTACTGATTCTCACCGGTTGTTGTGGTTTTCTCGTAATCTCGTCCCGCTCACCAGCGCTATTGAACTCTCACTCACTCTTATTGGTTCTGATTAACTCTCATAGGTCTTCATCGGCTATTAGCGGTTCTCACAAGCTTTTAGAGGTTCTCTCCAGCTCCCAGTAGATCCTTTAGGTCTTCGCTGATTCCTATCGTACTCTAGCTGGCTCTCTTTACTAACTCGTGAGGAAGTTCAACGCCTACTTTTCACTGACTCACTGCTTCTCACTTAATTTTAGTGTTGTTATTAACTTTCAGGTTTCATGGTTTTCACCTATGAGTTTCACAGTAATTTGAATAACATTTTCCTATTTCGTAGTATAAAACCCCCTTTTTTAATTTTTTTTTTTTTTTTGTAAGTTGGTAGCTCTTTTTTATATAATAACAAATTGTTAATATAAAAAATTATTAAACATAAATCGACGGACATTTTAGTTTATATATTTTTCTTTTTTATTTTTATATAAAATAACGTATATAATATTTAGTATACATATTATAAAAGCAACAATATCTGATGCATGGCAGCTTTATTTCGGTTTATTACTTTTCTTCTTAAAAGCTTATCGTTTTTGCCAATATATATCTGTTTACTCAAAATTTAATGGCAACTCTATTTACTGAATTTTAACACGCTGATATTGTGTGCTTAGTTATGGTATGTATATATGTATGTAAACACCAGTGTCGCAACATCTGGCAACACTAATTCGAAGTAAGGTAAAGCTCAAACACAGTTGATGTCAAACTATCAATAGTGGTTTACTAAGCATTAATATTTCTCGGCACTGTATGTAAATGAAATAACTGTAAATACCATATTGGTGAAGCTGACTCGCTTAGTTAGAGCAGTGGCGAAAACCAGTCGAATTGCGCAATGAGCAAGCATTTCGACAGTCATACCCACACATTCAACCGCACATAACCACAATGGCTAGCGAACTGCAAAGAATTCATATGCGCCACATACATTTATAGTATATACTATATATAATASATATGTATATGTTATGATATTGCGATGCGTGTAAGAGTATGTGTTTACAGTTGTGCTTAAATAGTAGTGCCGTACAGCATATGTAACTGCGAGCGTTGCGGTTGACAAGCGACCATTTATCGTTGACTCCTTGACATGCATGCACTCGCCCCCTGCATACATGTGCCTCAAACTCGTACATATGTTATATGTGTGTGTGTCCATACGTGCCACATGAAGTGCACTCGTCAGCTGCCGACATTTTGCCGCAAATAATTCAACAAAAACAAGCATTTATTATGTTTAGCTTGAATGCAACCGCTCTTTCATGTTATTTCATTTTACTCCATTTTGTTTTATCTCTTGCAGTGCATTTGMTGCTCGTGCCGGCATCGCGACAACCACCAGCGCATATGTGAGTGCGTGTGTGTGCGTGCAAGTGCAACGTTGCTGCCAGAATATCCGTTATGCTGACAATGCAATTTGCGCAAAGACTGTTTGTGCACAAATAAGCTCTAAAATCTTTGTTGTGATAAATAATAATAATATTATTATTACCCGATGTGAGATTATATGAAATATTTTGAGAGCTGTGTAAATAAAGTGAGAGTGTTGTGAGTTTTATTTACGAGTAAATAAATATAAAACGAGTGCTTTTTCGAATTGTTGTTGACACACAACAACGGTACAACGTAAGCGGTTAGAAAAGCTCTTAGCAACATGTTGACAACACATCATTTGCCACATTTGCATCATCATCGTGGCAGCACAGCAGTGGAATTTCATACAGTCACAAATCCGAGTACGGTGAGTACTGAGTGTAATTCATTTTTATTTTTTATTAAATATTAAATGTATTAGTTTTTATTTTACTTTGTTTGAAATTGTTGAAATTTCGCATAACGCAAAATGGTCGGTTGAAATATATAGAAGTATTGAGCCATATATAATATAATATAACTGCGAAGACAAAACAAGAGCTTCGGTCAATATTAAATTTTTATTTCAGTTCAGATTTTCAAGCCTTTAAGTTTAAGTTGAGATATTTTCGTATAATAGAAATATCGTGTAAAAAGACATAAGAAATTTAATTATAGTCAATATTYTGTCTGATATAGACCGAAATTTTCTTACTCAGTTCTCAAGAGAATTCCAGCCGACATTTTTTTCTCATCAAAAAAAATTAAATATTTTAACTTATTTTATTATGAAATTATATTTATTCCTACAAACAAACACTATTAACAAGGCAATTCTAAAAATTTTGGAAAAAAATTTTAAAATGGGCTTTTACTATACGGATAACGGCTGGATAACTCCTTGCAGGAGTGAACTAAAACAAATGTTTTTGCAGACATTTTTACAAAAAAAGGAAATGAAAGTTTCAGTGAAAATTTTTTAAACCTGTTAAACCATGTAACCACTTTTTTATAACGGTAGGACGGTTGTTTGTATTTAAGCGAACTAGTCCTCTAATTTTTGAGATATGAGTCTGAAACTTTGCACACGCTTTTTCCATCCAAGGTGCTGCTTAGTTGTCGGAACCGGGTAAGTTGGATGACAATATATGCTATTGTACATACATACATACTTAGCTGTCATACAAATGGAACGATCAATATCAGATCCCTGTATGGAAAACTTTTTTATTTGGCAAGTTATCTTCATGAAATGCAGTAAAAATTATTATGGAAAGCAACAGCATAATCTCTGGAGAAATTGTTGAGGTCAATATCTATATCATGTAGTTGCCAAAGAAGCTGATCAATCTAAATCCGGTCCTCGTATCGAAAACTTCTTTGTTTGACTAAATATCGTCACAAAATTGGGCAGGAATTATTTTATAAGACAACGAAATAATTTTCGAKGAAACTATTCAAATTGGATCATTATAGCATACAGCTTCCACACGAACTGACCGATCAACATACAGATTTTTTTATTTTCTTTTATGCTATAAGACATGGGCCTTTAAAGGGTATTTGAGCTTCGGTGCACCCGAAGTTAACGTTTTTTTCTTGTTTAGTCTCTTTTTCACCCCTACTCCTCTTTGATCTCCTTAACACAACTCCAAATGTATTATATCTTTCATATCTTAAACTGGAAAGATGAAGATGGCTTAACAGCATAAACCATTGACCCGACACAAATACACAGAAAGCAAGTCCAACGGAGTCAAATCCCATTACCTAGGTAACTAAGTACCACGATTTTTCTTATATTGTTTGTCAAAAAAAGTCTTGCGGTATTTTTTATTGAATTTTCAATTGTTCATAAAAGTTTTTTTGATGACTTCTTGACCGATGCTACGGCTGCTAATATGCCAGTCTCTTTCGACCAATTCAGCGACTTTATCGCAATTTTCGACGACAGGCCTTCCGGAGCATGGCGCATCTTCGACCACCTCCACACCAGAACGAAAACGTTGAAACCATCGTTGTGCGGTGGAAATGGAATCTGTATCGGGTCCATAAACTGCACAAATTTTATTGGCGACTTGAGATGCATTTTTGCCTTTATCGTAGTAGTACTGTAAAATATTCCCTATTTTCTCTTTATTTTGCTCCATGTTTAACTCACGAACGAATTAAAAGAAACGACAATCAATCAAACACGTGTTAGCGCGGGAAATGAGCTTTCCAAAAAGGTACAGCCCGATGACCCGATGCGACGAATAAAACTAGAACTTCGCGCTCTCAGCGCCAACTAGCGCAAATACCGCAAGACTTTTTTGACAACCTAATATATACCCGTAAAGCTAGAAATGTGCCTAGCCGGTGGGTTTACATTCTTTTTCCTTTTTTGTAATAAAACTGTGGGTGGACAGTTGCCTCCATGCTTTGCGCCTGTCCTTATGCACTTGGTCCAATTTCCACGTTTTTTAAATAATATTTCCATTAGAAACCTTGGACTTTCGGAAATATTCTGAGCATAAATGTCGAACTTATGAGTTTGCTTTGACAGCATGTATTATAGACCTCCATCCATGAAAATTTCATAACTCAAAATTTTGCTCTGACATCGAGATCTTTGTCGCAACTTGAGTTGCTAATTATAATAGAAACTCAAAAGGTGTGGTAAAACCCAAAACGGTTTACTTGAAAAAAAAAAGATAAAGTTATGGTCCCAAAGTCCCCATTTTAAAGATGGAATTTGAGAAAATGGGGAATAGAGAAAATGTAAAGAGAGGATTTCTAATCTCTCTTTACCTTACATATTCTTGGCTACATTTAAAAGGTTAATAAAAAATTAWCTGAAAAGAGTGCGTAAAAACGAAACAATTCGATAGAAATAGACCCCAGAAAAAGAGCTATACTAATGTACTTCGGATGAATCGTTCTTCTGGTTAGACTGAACAAATCTTTTAACAATATGTTGAGAGTACTTTAGAGGACAGTCGCGATAAACCATAATTATCTTCCATCGCAGGTTAATGAAGAGAGCATGCACCACATTTGGCATGCTGCTTCCTTAACAAAGCAGCTTCTGCCTCTGCTTGAGCCACACAAAAATAAACTTTCCGGCATATAAAATCTTCACCAACGCATTCTCAAAAACACGCTTGATTTTTTGTAACATTCGTTTTCAAGTCGTTTAATGAAAAAATCCATACGCCAGCATCCGAGTACATTGCAATCATTTTAMATTTTTAATGACGCATAGTAAAAATATTGAAAGGAACAATTTCGCTAAAAGCACCACATGAAAACACACTCACTCACATATACGCCCACAGCACAACCGCAGCATACAAAATATCACAAAGTTATGACATATGCCACATTCCCAGCCGCTTCCGCTGTGACTGCTGCTTCCTCCTTTCATGCTCTCGCAAAACAATTCAAGTCAAGCGAAGTCGCGTTAAATTCGCTACTCAATTCAGCTGCCATTACCGCACATGTTCACGAATGTGCTCATAAGAAATGTTTACGCCGCACATTTGTCGCAATAAAAATTCAAGAATTCGCAGCAGTGTGCAGCAGTGGCAAGCATCCTARGTGGAAGCTCCACTGGGGCATGCGTTCATCATTGACATTTTAGTTGAGTAAATGGTAATCGATAAAGAGTCTTACAGTTGTCAGGCGTTGTGCTTCCTCGGCTTTGTGTTGATTGACAAGCCTTCAATTGGAATGACAGCTCTGAGTGCTGCCGTTGCTAGAAACAAAATCGAACAAAGTAAACAATTTCAAAATGGAAAGAAGCACAAAAACTGCTCCATGAAWTGGCGGTGAAACAATTGAAATGTAAATATTTGTATGTGGTAAAAAAYCAAAAAGGAAGACATCAAAATAAAGAGGCAGGCGGTGGAGCCCACCAAGCAGCATAAAAATCAAAATTGAAGAAATTTAAAATAAAAGTACCAAAATCTGTCGATAAACGTGTAATGGCGTACTGTATGTCAGCGTTGTCATTAAACTCGCATTCTTCTTACAAATACACATAGCATACTTACACATGCGTATACTATATAATTTTTGAGTTCTCCTTCATTTGAGTCGCACAGTAGAAAAGAAAGAAAAGGAGAACAATCATATAAATTTTTTTAAGATTAACATTAACAGTATCATTATCATTGTATTCAATCCTTTACAGATACTTACCTTAATCTTCATTATATTCCTTATCCTTATCCGTATCGTTATCCGTATCCTTATCCTTATCCTTACCCATATCCTCATCGTAATCATTATCCTCTATTTATCCTTATCCTTATCCTTATCCTTCTCCTTATCCTTATCCTTATCCTTATCCATATCCTTATCGTAATCATTRTCCTTCTACTTATCCTTATTCTTATCCTTATCCTTATCCTTATCCGTATCCTTATCCTTGTCCTTACCCTTGTCCTTATCCTTATCCTTATACTTATCCTTATGCTTATCCT